TATCCGGGATTTCCTGGAATGGTAAAGATGTTTCAAAGCTTTTCTAAACTACAACCTGATCCCTACACTCTGCATTCCCTACTCCTTACCCCTGCACTCTGCATTCTCTACACCTGATCCCTACACTCTGCATTCCCTACTCCTACCCCTGCACTCTGCATTCCTACACCTGATCCCTACACTCTGCATTCCCTACTCCTGACCCCTGCACTCTGCATTCCCTACTCCTGACCCCTGCACTCTGCATTTCCCTACTCCTGACCCCTGCACTCTGCATTCCCTACTCCTGACCCCTGCACTCTGCATTCCCTACACCTGACCCCTACACTCTGCATTCCCTACTCCTGACCCCTGCACTCTGCATTACCTACCCCTAACCCCTGCACTCTGCATTACCTACTCCTGACCCTGCACTCTGCATTACCTACTCCTGACCCCTGTACTCTGCATTACCTACTCCTGACCCCTGCACTCTGCATTACTTACTCCTGACCCCTGTACTCTCCATTACTTACTCCTGACCCCTGCACTCTGCATTACTTACTCCTGACCCCTGTACTCTCCATTACTTACTCCTGACCCTGTACTCTCCATTACTTACTCCTGACCCCTGTACTCTCCATTACTTACTCCTGACCCCCTGCATTACTCCTGACCCCTGTACTCTCCATTAATTACTCCTGACCCCTGCACTCAGATTACTTACTCCTGACCCCTGTACTCTCCATTACTTACTCCTGACCCCTGCACTCTGCATTACTTACTCCTGACCCCTGTATTCTGCATTACTTACTCCTGACCCCTGTACTCTGCATTACTTACTCCTGACCCCTGTACTCTGCATTACTTACTCCTGACCCCTGCACTCTGCATTACTTACTCCTGACCCCCTGCCTGACCCCTGTACTCTCCATTACTTACTCCTGACCCCTGTACTCTCCATTACTTACTCCTGACCCCTGTACTCTGCATTACTTACTCCTGACCCCCTGCATTACTTACTCTGACCCCCTGCATTCTGTACTTACTCCTGACCCCTGTACTCTCCATTACTTACTCCTGACCCCTGTACTCTCCATTACTTCTCCAGACTCCTTCACTCTGCATTACTTACTCCTGACCCCTGTACTCTCCATTGCTTACTCCTGACCCCTGCACTCTGCATTACGTACTCCTGACCCCTGCACTCTGCATTACCTACTCCTGACCCCTGCATTCTCCATTACTTACTCCTGACCCTGTACTCTCCATTACTTATTCCTGACCCCTGCACCCTGTACTCCTGACCCCCTGCATTCTCCATTACTTACTCCTGACCCCTGTACTCTCCATTACTTACTCCTGACCCCTGTACTCTCCATTACTTACTCCTGACCCCCTGTACTCTCCATTACCTACTCCTGACCCCTGTACTCTCCATTACTTACTCCTGACCCCTGTACTCTCCATTACTTACTCCTGACCCCTGCATTCTCCATTACTTACTCCTGACCCCTGTACTCTCCATTACTTACTCCTGACCCCTGACATTCATTGCTTACTCCTGACCCCTGTACTCTCCATTACTTACTCCTGACCCCTGTACTCTCCATTCTACTCCATTACTTACTCCTGACCCCTGTACTCTCCATTACTTACTCCTGACCCCTGTACTCTCCATTACTTACTCCTGACCCCTGTACTCTCCATTACTTACTCCTGACCCCCTGCATACTCCTCCACTTACTCCTGACCCCTGTACTCTCCATTACAGTATCCTGCATGCAGTATTCTCGATCTTCCACATTACTCTGCCTGGTACTAGTAGAACCTCCATTAGATGATGAAATTCTGTCCCCCCGTACTCGTGTCTTGTCTTCAGTTTTGGTCCCCCCCTGTCCCCCCATGTCTTCCTTCCTTCCTATCCCCCCCCTCCCCCCGTGTCTTCCTGTCCCCCCTCCCCCCCGTGTCTTCCTGCCCCCCCCCCCGTGTATTTCTGTCCCCCCTCGTCTTCCTATCCCCCCTCCCCCCCGTGTGTCTTCCTGTCCCCCCCTCCCCCCATGTCTTCCTGTACCACAAGCAGAGATGATGATGTTCCTCCGGGGACAGATCGATGTTCATTGATCGGGGAGATTGTTTCACCTGCAGTCGCCATCCCATGATACTTCAGAGTTTTCTGATGGTGTTGTGTGGAAATCCCCGGTGATGGTTCCTGATTGGAGGACAGCCAGGATGACGTCACATGACCCCCTTATCTTATCTCCCCCAATTGATCTGTACAGAGCAGCATTGTGTGTCGTCTCTAGTTCTATGCGATTCCCACCACTGGCACCCTGTGCTTTTCACAGATGAGAACAGGTTCCCCCTGAGCACATGTGACAGACGTGAAAGGGTCTGGAGAAGCCGCGGAGAACGTTCTGCTGCCTGTAACATGGTTCAGCATGACCGTTGTGGTGGTGGGGTCAGTGATGGTCTGGGGGGGCATCTCCATGGAGGGACACACACAGACCTCTACAGGCTAGACAATGGCACCCTGACTGCCATTAGGTATGGGGGGATCCTTGGACCCAAATCCTCCTGGGGACCCATTGTTCCTCATGACGGTGGGTCCTACACTGGTGCAGTGGGTCCTGGGTGTTCCTCCTCTGGTGGGGTCTTGGGGGTGCGGTGGGTCCTGGGTTCCTCCTGGTGCGGTGGGTCCTGGGTTCCTCATGGTGCGGTGGGTCCTGGGTTCCTCCTGGTGCGTGGGTCCTGGTTCCTCCTGGTGCGGTGGGTCCCGGGTTCCTCCTGGTGCGGGGGGGTCTTGGGTTCCTCCTGGTGCAGTGGGTCCTGGGTTCCTCCGGTGCAGTGGGTCTTGAGTTCCTCCTGGTGCAGGGGGTCCTGGGTTCCTCCCAGTGCAGTGGGTCTTGAGTTCCTCCCGGTGCAGGGGGGTCCTGGGTTCCTCCCAGTGCAGTGGGTCTTGAGTTCCTCCTGGTGCAGGGGGTCCTGGGTTCCTCCCAGTGCAGTGGGTCTTGAGTTCCTCCCAGTGCAGGGGGTTCTGGGTTCCTTCTGGTGTGGTGAGTCCTGGGTTCCTCCTGGTGGAGTGGGTCTTGAGTTCCTCCCGGTGCAGTGGGTCCTGGGTTCCTCCCAGTGCAGGGGGTTCTGGGTTCCTTCTGGTGTGATGAGTCCTGGGTTCCTCCTGGTGCAGTGGGTCCTGGGTTCCTCCTGGTGCGGTGGGTCTTGGGTTCCTCCTGGTGCAGTGGGTCCTGGGTTCCTGCTGGTGCAGTGGGTCTTGGGTTCCTCCTGGTGCAGGGGGTCCTGGGTTCCTCCTGGTGCAGGGGGTTCCTGGGTTCCTCCTGGTGCGGTGGGTCCTGGGTTCCTCCTGGTGCGGTGGGTCCTGGGTTCCTCCTGGTGCGGTGGGTTCCTCCCGGGTTTCTTCCTGGTACAGACAATCCCCCGCACTCACCTGACCTAAATCCAATAGAACCCCTCTGGGATATCATGTTTCGGTCCTTCTGATACCACCAGGTTGCACCTCAGACTGTCCAGGAGCTCAGTGATTCCCTGGTCCAGATCTGGGAAGAAATCCCCCAGAACACCATCCGTGGTCTCATCAGGAACCTCCCCTGACGTAGTCAGGCATGCGTACAAACACGTGGGGGCCACACAGACTACTGAGGGCCATTCTGAGTTGCTGCAATGACATTTCACCAACATGGACTCGCCTGCTGCATCATTTCTACACTTTGATGTTCGGGGTGTCTTTGGATTCAGTGCATCTCCACAGCTGGTTCTGTTGGGCTCTAATGATGAATTTGGACCTTCTTCCATCTGTGTGTTTTTATATCGGCCCGGGGCTCAGATGATCGCTGTGATGGCACAGTCCCGGATGTATTGACAAAGAGATGCCGGGATTGGCTGGTTGTGTATGCGAGGAGCGACCTCTGCTGGTGGAATTGGAGAATTACAGAAATAATCCAACACAAAGAAGTGGAGTCAGATTTCATGGAGATCCATTGAAGGGGTCAGGATTATGGGCGGAGGCTGAATGTAAATAAAGAGGGGTACTCCAGTGTGAATATTGGGGTTCCCACCTTGGATGGATGATCCAAGGACATGCTGGGAGGGTAATTGGCTCCTGTCCTAGTATGTGTATGTATGAATGTGAGTTAGGGACCTTAGCTTGTCCGCTCCTCGGGGGCGGGGCCTGATGTGAATGTACAATATATATGTACAGTGCTGAGTACATTGACGCCACTATAGAAGTACCTGAAATAAATAATAATCTGTCACTCCTCCTCCAATCTGAGGATCCAGACAAAGATGGCCGACCCCTTCCTGGAGCTCCAGGGATCCAAACTCTTCGTATTAAACATTTCCAGCCCCAGATGGGGACGGATGGTGTTCTCTGTCGGGGGATGGGTCTGGGGTTAGGATCCCATAGGGGAGGGTGATGGATCCTGGTCAGTATTTAGTCCCCAACAAAAAGGACGTTTCATCAATTACATTCTCTGGTTGTAATGTTGTCAGCTTCATCGTGATTGGAAGCATCGACAATTTCGTAATATACAATGGATACAATATATATCGATCAGGAATCAGTCCTGAGGAGGAACTGCGGACCTCCATTCCGAGTCTTCATTGCAGGAAGAAATCCCCCCCCAGTTGGAGATGCCTCCAGAGGTTGGTACCTGGATGTGTATAGAGAACATGGAGGTCTGGTGAAGTCCTGCTGGGACCTGATAGGACTGGGGACAGTCTAGGGAAGGGGGTCCGGGGGCGTAGTGGACGATCCATGGGGGGGTCTCCGTATTTGGTGGAAATGTTCAGAACAATGATGGACAAATGTTCCCGCAACAAAGTATGAGAAGGAAAAACTTTACTAATTTACTTACATTTTCTGACTTTGGCACGGCGGTCCTTTATTGTGACCCGTCATCGACTCTGCAATACGAGACGCCGACCGGCCAACCATGGAGATCGATCAAATCACTGAGGGAAAACCCATCGCGCCCCGCGCCATGTATGTCTGATATCAATTTTACAGCTGAACTATATCGCCCCAAGTATTGTCCCCCCCCCCTCCATATCATGTGATTCAGGTGCTCCAATCTCTTCCATATCATGTGATTCAGGTGTTCCATCCCCTCCATATCATGTGATTCAGGTGTCCCAATCCCCTCCATATCATGTGATTCAGGTGTTCCAATCCCCTCAAATCATGTGATTCAGGTGTTCCAATCCCCTCCATATTGTGGTGGTTTATGTAAGGATATATATTATTTATAAAGGGCGTGTCCCTTTTCCCTTAGATGAAATATTACAGCCTCCAGCCGTTAAAATACGGCAAATATTTAGTAAACCAATAATTTGGACACCTTGATAATTTGATCACCACTTATTATTATACCTTGAATTCTTTTAGCCAATATGATTTCGTACCATATACACAAAATTTGCCTTATAATAGATAAATATAAAAATTTATTTATGTAAAAAAAATTATATATATATTAACACACAAACGCAAAAGACTGGTGATAAATGAATATTGGTACACACAATCAAGAATATATCCTACCAATGTAAGACACAATAATAAAGTTTCTAACTAATTACATCAATCACAATTTTTAAATGATCTGATTATTTATTAAATTTATTAATAATTAATAATTTCGAATATCTCAAAGGTTATATTCTCACAAGCCGTGGCCATAGGATTGCAAGAATCAAGCCCTTGATATATGATTACTCTGGTTATTAATCTTCAATAAATTATGAAATATGAAAAAATTTATAATATGGCAATAAACAATTTTTAACAGTAAAATAGGATTTCTCTACATATATCTAACTACCCAATATTGTTGTGATACACTAAGATAATTTTTATGATTCCACACAACAGAGAAAAATAGGTAATACAAAATCAAATAAACAATCTCACCGCACCCGGAATTCAGACTAGGCAACTCTCCCGTGGATTTAGCTGGCAGTGGAACGCCTTTGGACTGATATATAGGGCAAGTGAAAGATTCTCAGTAGGGGAGAATGTAGGAAGTTATAAGATTAGAGGTTTAGGAATTTAGTTAAAGTTTTAGGAAGTTTTAAAAGATGGAAGAGTAGTTGTTCAGCAGAGATCTTCTTCTTGATCAGGTCTTTCCATGAGGTTTTTATGAGCGTTTCTTTTTTTTTCTTAAAGCACAAGGGCTTTTATATCCACTAGTCCATTGTTCTAAGATACCTTCCCACCAGGCTTCCTGATTGGCTAGTTGAGAAATGTGTGTACATAAGCTATTTTCTCACCTGCCCGCCAGGTGGCGGTCATGTATCACAGAACAATGTGAGTATTTGAGATGACTCATACCTTGGGTGGAATCTTAAGGTAATTTCAGGAATTAAATATACGGCTTTTTCCAGATATAGCAGTGATCATACCTATAATATTCTAAATAGGGACCATGGAATATAGGTGTATATTCAGTTATTCCTTCTTGAAGTACCATCCTGTTTGTTTCCTGATAAGACATGTAACTAATGCTATTTTATAATACATCTTACTTCCCATCATCTCAATACTCAAATTAGTGATATATAGTTCCCATTGCTGAGTATTTAGTGGTGTTTAAAAACTATACCATCTTATTTATAATCTGTTTTTTGTAGTATATATTTTTGTAATTATATACAGTGAACTTTTAGACTTAAATGTCCTGAATTTCACCTCTTTGTTTCAGAATCAACATTTTCTCTGTGTAGGAAAAAAAACTCTCTGTTTGCCTGGCCCTTGTATTGGACTCATGGTAAACAATTGTTAATGCTTTCACCCTTGGTGAACAATAGTATATGGTAATAGTTTCAGAGGTCTGTTTGGTTCATCACACTCTACAAGGTTTGGGTAAGCTCTCAGACAATCAGTTTGGTTCCTCTATTGTCATGTCCAGACCTTGTATATGTTTACCTGCTTATTGAAGTCTGAATAATGGTGTTTGATCACCTGTAGAACTTCAAAATAGTATTGTCTCTAGGAGGAAAGAAAAACAATCCCTTCACCCATTACATTTCTCTAGCCAGATGGTCATTCGACTTTCTGTAGGTGCATTCTTCTCAACCTCCATATACAAATAGTCCTTGTTGACAGTTCAAACAGTCTTATTGTCTTGGAAAAGTTTTTTACTCCCCCCATTCTCTTCATTTCTTTAACTAGAATCCTTGATGGTTCAACCAAGACAAAATTAACTCTTAGCATCCGGCTATGCTGAGCTGTTTGCCATATATAATATTATGTCTTGATAAAAAGTCATATTTTTGAGATATGATTCAAAAGCCCACAACAATATCATGTGCTTCAGGTGTCCCAATCCCCTCCATATCATGTGATTCAGGTGTTCCAATCCCCTCCAATCATGTGATTCAGTGTGTTCCAATCCTCTCCATATTATGTGATTCAGGTGTCCCCAATCTCCTCCAATCATGTGATTCAGGTGTTCCAATCCCCTCCCAATCATGTGATTCAGGTGTTCCAATCCCCTCCATATCATGTGATTCAGGTGTCCCAATCCCATCAATATCATGTGATTCAGGTGTTCCAATCCCCTCCCAATCATGTGATTCAGGTGTTCCAATCCCCCCTCCCAATCATGTGATTCAGGTGTTCAAAGCCCCTCCATATCATGTGATTCAGGTGTATCAATCCCCTCCATATCATGTGATTCAGGTGTTCCAGTCCCCTCAAATCATGTGATTCAGGTGTTCCAATCCCCTCCATATCATGTGCTTCAGGTGTCCCAATCCCCTCCATATCATGTGATTCAGGTGTTCCAATCCCCTCCAAATCATGTGATTCAGGTGTTCCAATCCTCTTCATATTATGTGATTCAGGTGTCCCAATCTCCTCCATATCATGTGATTCAGGTGTTCCAATCCCCTCCATATCATGTGATTCAGGTGTTCCAATCCCCTCCCAATCATGTGATTCAGGTGTTCCAAGCCCCTCCATATCATGTGATTCAGGTATTCCAATCCCCTCCCAATCATGTGAATCATGTGTTCCAATCCTCACCATATTATGTGATTCAGGTGTTCCAAATCCCCTCCATATCATGTGATTCAGGTGCTCCCATCCCCTCCATATCATGTGATTCAGGTGTTCCAATCACCTCCCAATCATGTGATTCAGGTGTTCCAATCCCCTCCCAATCATGTGATTCAGGTGCTCCCATCCCCTCCATATCATGTGATTCAAAAATTTCCAATCCCCTCCATATCATGTGATTCAGGTGTTCCAATCCCCTCCCAATCATGTGATTCAGGTGTTCCAATCCCCTCCATATCATGTGATTCAGGTGTTCCAATCCCCTCCATATCATGTGATTCAGGTGTTCCAATCCCTCCTCCAATCATGTGATTCAGGTGTTCCAAGCCCCTCCATATCATGTGATTCAGGTGTTCCAATCCCCTCCATATCATGTGATTCAGGTGTTCCAATTCCCCTCCATATCATGTGATTCAGGTGTTCCAATCCCCTCCCAAGCATGTGATTCAGGTGTTCCAATCCCCTCCAAGCATGTGATTCAGGTATATATTTCCAATCCCCTCCATGGCTCAACTGTTAGTGGGATTATAACAAAGTGGAAGCAACTGGGAACAACAGCCACTCAGCCACCAAGTGGTAGGCCACGTCACATGACAGGGCGGGGTCAGCGCATGCTGAAGCGCACAGTGCGCAGAAGTCGCCAACTGTCTGTAGAGCCAATAGCTAAAGACCTCCAAACTTGGTGTGGCCTTCAGATGAGTCCAACAACAGTGCGTAGAGAGCTTCATGGAATGGGTTTCCATGGCCGAGCAGCTGCATCCAAGCCTTCCATTACCAAGTGCAATGCAAAGCGTTGGATGCCGTGGTGTAAAGCACGCCACCACTGGACTCTAGAGCAGTGGAGACGTGTTCTCTGGAGGGACTAATCACGCTTCTCTATCTGGCAATCCAATAGACATCTGTGGGTGGGTTTGGCGGTTGCCAGGAGAACGGTACTTGCCTTACTGCATTGTGCCAAGTGTAAAGTTTGGTGGAGGGGGGATTATGGTGGGAAGTTGTTTTTCAGGGGTTGGGCTTGGCCCCCTAGTTCCAGTGAAGAGAACTCTTAAGGCGACATTTTGGACAATTTCATGCTCCCAACTTTGTGGGAGGAGTTTGGGGATGGCCCCTTCCTGTTCCAACATGACTGCCCACCAGTGCACAAAGCAAGGTCCATAAAGACATGGAGGAGCCAGTTTGGTGGAGGAACTTGACTGTCCTGCACAGAGTCCTGACCTCAACCCCATAGAACACCTTTGGGATGAATTAGAGCGGAGACTGCGAGCCAGGCCTCCTCCCCCGACATCAGTGCCTGACCTGACAAATGTGCTTCTGGAAGAATGGTCCAACCTTCCCATAGACACCCTCCTAAACCTTGTGGACGGCCTTCCCAGAAGAGTTGAAGCTGTTATAGGTGCAAAGGGGCGGGGCCAACTCAATATTAAAACCCTACGGATTAAGACTGGGGGGCCATTAAAGGTCATGTGCGTGGAAAGGGCGGGGTCAACTCAATATTGAACCCTACGGACTAAGACTGGGGGGGCCATTTAAAGGTCATGTGTGTGGAAAGGGCGGGGCCAACTCAATATTGAACCCTACGGATTAAGACTGGGGGGCCATTAAAGGTCATGTGCGTGGAAAGGGGGGGTCAACTCAATATTGAACCCTACGGACTAAACTGGGGGGCCATTAAAGGTCATGTGCGTGGAAAGGGCGGGGTCAACTCAATATTGAACCCTACGGATTAAGACTGGGGGGCCATTAAAGGTCATGTGTGTGTGGAAAGGGCGGGGCCAACTCAATATTGAACCCTATGGATTAAGACTGGGGGGCCATTAAAGGTCATGTGTGTGGAAAGGGCGGGGTCAACTCAATATTGAAACCCTACGGATTAAGACTGGGGGGCCATTAAAGGTCATGTGTGTGGAAAGGGCGGGGTCAACTCAATATTGAACCCTACGGACTAAGACTGGGGGGCCATTAAAGGTCATGTGCATGGAAAGGGCAGGGGCCAACTCAATATTGAACCCTACGGATTAAGACGGGGGGGGCCATTAAAGGTCATGTGCGTGGAAAGGCCGGCCAACCAATACTTGAGGCAATATAGTGTATATACGGGGGGCGGGGACAATACTTGGGGCAATATTGTGTATATATGGGGGGGGCAGGGACAATACTTGGGGCAATATTGTGTATATATGGGGGGGGGGGGGGGGGACAATACGGGGCAATATTGTGTATTATATGGGGGGGCAGGGACAATACTTGGGGCAATATTGTGTATATATGGGGGGGGGGGGGGGGGCAGGGACAATACTTGGGGCAATATTGTGTATATATGGGGGGGGGGGGGGGGGGCAATATTGGACAATACTTGTGTATATATGGGGGGGAGGGGGCATGGACAATTCTTGGGGCAGTATAGTGTATTTTCATTGATTCAGTCTGTAGCATGCAATGAAAGGTATTCCAAGAAACACATGAGGAGATTAATAATAAAGAATATCTTGTATATAAATTAAATATTAACAATAATAATATAAAACATAAAAAATAACTAAAATATATAATAATAATAAAATATGAGTAAAATAAATATGAAATATTATTATTATTTATTTCATATATTATTGTTATTATTTACATATTATTCAATTTTATTATTATCATCACATTATTAAATATAATAATAAAATAAATTTAAAATAATAATAATAATATCACATTATTAAATATAATAATAATTAAATAAAATAAATATGAAAACTATAAAATAAAATAAATAAATTAGGAAGGTACATCAGAGCATTTGATGTGCTAGAATAGATGCCGTAAAAAATAATTTGTTGAGGAAAATGGAAAAATAGCCCCGGACTCATGAGGCTATCCTATTGGTCTTGCCATCTATCCTTCGGGGCATTGCTGTTGGTGGAGGCGATGTGGTTCAGGTGGTTTCTACACCCCAAAGGACCTCCATGGTCTGCTTGGCTTGTACCGTAATGTAGCAGAGATTCCCATGGAAGCTCCACACCACTGCTACAAAGACCGGAACTTGTGACCACACTGGAAGGATTACCATTCAAGGTCCAGTTCATTTCCAGTCCATTCACATTGTCCTCAATCAAGCCGTGATGAAGGGGGTAATTTTGAACCCCCAAAATGTATAGCATACTCTTTGGCTGGTCCCCTGATTTCTTCTGGAATAAAGTTGGGTCTGGACCTTGCAGCAGTGGTGTGACGCTTCAATTTCCATGTCTATAGAGGAGAATTAAACGCAACGGATGGCTCTCCATATTGCAGCCTTCACCTCGTGGTTCCTCAGTGTGTAGATAATGGGATTTAGCACCGGAGTCACCACCGATGGGAATACGGAGACAATCTTATTGGTGTGAAGGTCACTTTTTCCTGTTGGTCGAACAAACATGAAGGCAATCGTTCCATAAAAAATATGAGGACAACAGTCAGGTGGGAGGCACAAGTGTAGAAGGCTTTGGAACGGCCTGAGGATTTCGGCAGAACCAGAATTGTCCTCAGAATGTAGATATAGGAGATGACAATGAGCGTGAAACATATTAATATTACAAGGGCACACGTGAGCATGAAGAGAGTCTCCAGACTGGAGGTATCGGAACATCCAAGACGTATCAAAGGTGCAAAGTCACAATAATAATGCTCAACCACATTTGGGCCACAAAATGTCACCTTCGAAATTTGGACACATGGAATTGCAATGCTTGCGAAGCCCCCAATCCAGGTCCCCAGGGCACATCGGACACAAATCTTGGGTCTCATAATGAAGACGTAATGTAAAGGTCTACAAATGGCCACATAGCGGTCAAAAGCCATGACCACAAGAAGGAAGTTTTCTGTGGCCCCCAAAGAAAAGTGTAAATAGAACTGAGCTATGCAGCACCCAACAGATATCCCTTTAACTCTTAGCAGCAATCCACGCAATAACCCGGGAACCGTAACCGTGGGATACCAGATCTCCAAGAAAGAGAAAACACCGATGAAGAAATACATGGGCTTCTGGAGGCTTTGATCCATCCTCACGATGGCAATGACAGAACTATTGATCCCAATCCCTGCCATGTAGACCACCAAGACAACCACAAATAGGAGATATTCCAGATCTGGAGAAACCATGAACCCCCAGGAAGTAAAACTCTCTGACCGACGTTCCATTATGCTGCATCCTGGGACCATCCAATGGCTGGACCCTCCAATGGCTGGACCCTTCATGAAGAATTGGTGGAGCCCAGAAAAAAATGAACATCTTAGAATCTTGTATCATATCTCCCCCTAGAATGTATGATGCATGCGTATCCTGAGCCCCCCAGTTGTACCCCCCCTAGAATGTATGATGCATGCGTATCCTGAGCCCCCCAGTTGTACCCCCCCTAGAATGTATGATGCATGCGTATTCTGAGCCCCCAGCTGTACCCCCCTAGAATGTATGATGCATGCATACCCTGAGCCCCCCAGTTGTACCCCCCTAGAATGTATGATGCATGCGTATCCTGAGCCCCCCAGTTGTACCCCCCTAGAATGTATGATGCATGCGTATCCTGAGCCCCCCAGTTGTACCCCCCTAGAATGTATGATGCATGCGTATCCTGAGCCCCCCAGTTGTACCCCCCTAGAATGTATGATGCATGCGTATCCTGAGCCCCCCAGTTGTACCCCCCTAGAATGTATGATGCATGCGTATTCTGAGCCCCCCAATTGTACCCCCCCAGCATGTATGATGCATGCGTATCCTGAGCCCCCCAGTTGTACCACCCCTAGTATGAATGATGCATGCGTATCCTGAGCCCCCCAATTGTACCCCCCCAGTATGTATGATGCATGCGTATCCTGAGCCCCCCAGTTTTACCCCCCCTAGTATGAATGATGCATGCGTGTTCCGAGCGCCCAAGTACTGTACCTTACATTTATCAACATTAAACCTCATTGGCCCCATAGTTGCCAGTTAGACTGAAATCCCTGACCCCATATCGTGTATATATAGATTACAAAGTAATGGTCCCAACACTGAGCCTTGGGGTCCCCCACTAATAACACTGAACCTTGGGGTGCACCACTAATGACATGGAACCTTGGGGTCCCCCACTAATAACACTGAACCTTGGGGTGCACCACTAATGACATGGAACCTTGGGGTACCCCACTAATAACACTGAACCTTGGAGTGCATCACTAATCACAGTGAGCCTTGAAGTACCCCACTAATAACACTGAACTTTGGGGTACACCACTAATAACACTGAGCTTTGAGGTACAGACCACTAATCACAATGAGCCTTGGGGTACCCCACTAATAACACTGAGCTTTGGGGGGTATCCTACTAACACTGAGCCTTGGGGTACACCACTTATCACAGTGAGCCTTGGGGTACCCCACTAACACTGAGCTTTGGGGTATCCCACTAATAACACTGAGCCTTGGGGTACACCACTAATCACAGTGAGCCTTGGGGTACCCCACTAATAACACTGAGCTTTGGGGTACCCCACTAATAACACAGAACCTTGGGGTGCACCACTAATAACACAACCTTGGGGTACACTACTAATAACACTGAACCTTGGGGTGCACCACTAACAACACTGAACCTTGGGGTACCCCACTAATAACACTGAACCTTGGGGTACGCCACTAACACTGAGCTTTTGGGTACCCCACTAATAACACTGAACTTTGGGGTACCCCACTATCACTGAACCTTGTGGTACCCCACTAACACTGAGCCTTGGGGTACACCACTAATCACTGAACCTTGGTACCCCACTAACACTGGGTGGGGTGCACCACTGAGACTGAACCCTGGGTTACACCACTAATAACACTGAGCCTTGGGGTACTCCACTAATAACACTGAACCGTGGGGTGCACCCCTAATGACACTAAACTTGGACTACTCCACTAATAACACTCAGCCTTGGGGTCCCCCACTAATAACAGAACCTTAGGGTACACCAACACTGAGCCTTGTGATACCCCCTAACACCCCTAGACCATTCAGAGTATGAATCTCTGGGCTGTTGGCCTCCGGGCCAAAGAAGAGCGGCCCTTTTTTTGATGACCAGGCCGCACAGCGGGAGGTAAGTGGCGACCGTGGTCTGGGCGGGGCTAACACAGACCCTGGCCGCAGCTCACCTCCCGCTCTGCGGCTTTGCCTAAAGCAGGGCCATCAGGAGGAGAGACCAAGATGGCACCAGAGACAAACAGGAAGTGCTGCAGAGGATACACAGATGCCTCCCAGGCTGGCCGCTGCAGACACCATGGCACTGAAGGGACAACAGCGGCCTCTCTCTTTCACCAGCTGGCACACTGTGGCAGCCAAACAGTCCTGCTCTGTAGTGGTAGTGGATTGGGATGTTTCTTTGCTTAATGAGCTGTCTCTTTGTGGATTGGAATGTCTCTTTGCTATATGGGAATGTCTCTTTTCTATATGGGGATGTCTCTTTGCTGGATTGGGATGTCTCTATGGTGGATGGGATGTCTCTTTGCTATATGTGGATGTCTCTTTGCTGGATGGGTATGTCTCTTTGCTGGATTGGGATGTCTCTATAGTGGATGGGATGTCTCTATGCCAGGGGTGGGCAACTGTGGCCCTCCAGCTGTTAGTGAACTAAAAGTCCCATCATGTCTCTGCCTTTGGGAGTCATGCTTGTAACTGTCAGTTTTGCAATGCCTCATGGGACTTACAACAGCTGGAAGGCCACATTTGCCCACCCCTGCTCTATGCTATATGGTGATGTCTCTTTGGTTGATTGGGATGTCTTTTTGGTGGATGGGATGATGTCTCTTTGCTATATGGGGATATCTCTTTGGAGGACTGGGATGTCCCTATGGTGGATGGGATGTCCCTTTGCTATATGCGGATGTCTCTTTGCTGGATTAGGATGTCTCTTTGCTATATGGGATTGTTTCTTTGGTGGATTGGGATGTCTCTTTGCTATATGCGGATGTCTCTTTGCTGGATTAGGATGTCTCTTTGCTATATGGGATTGTTTCTTTGGTGGATTGGGATGTCTCTTTGCTATATGTTGTAAATTCAACCAATAGTGATGCAAATGATGGAGATGTAAAATTACATAAAGTGTCAAGTGCGTATAAACCAAGTTATACATAATATGCATAGAATAAACTTATAAGCAATCAAATGAATTAATTAATAAAAACATCCAGTGTAAGTGTAATATTGTCCTTAATTGTGAAGTAAAATCCTGTGCTCATAACAAAGGAATCCTGTATTCAGGTGACGGTATACTCCATGTGACCAATAATTCATTCGGTGAACTGCGGAAAGTGGTAACAATGCTCACTCACCAGATGCACATTATAAATACGCCGTGTGTAATGTATGATGAAATCAGCCGGAGGTCCCCTTTAAGCTGGAATGGATGTACAGCCTGGTAAGGATCTCCCTCCTCTGGATCCTGCGGCTGCTTTACAGCTTGGTGTCACCCAGGATTCTGCAGATTTGATTGCTCCATGCAGAGCCAGAACGAAGGGTGCCCATAGTGTAGTGATGTTTAAGTGACACCAGGCTGTAAAGCAGCTGCAGAATCCAGAGGAGGGAGATCCTTACCAGGCTGTACATTCATTCCACCTTAAAGGGGACCTCCGGCTGATTTCATCATACATTACACACGGCGTATTTATAATGTGCATCTGGTGAGTGAGCAGTGTTACCAGTTTCCGCATTTCTCACCACTTCAAAATTAAGGACAATATTACACTTACACTGGACGTTTTTATTAATTTATTGACATTAATTTATTCATTTGATTGCTTATACATTTATTCTATGCATATTATTTATAACTTGGTTTATACGCACTTGACACTTCATTTTATATCTCCATCATTTACATCACTATTGGTTGAATTCACGGCCCTGCACTTCCTTATCACATATGCTATTTGAAGTTTACAGGTTCCTTTTTGGGGCATTTTGCTGCTGTACGATTTTAAGCGCTCACTGATCTTTTTTACATATGCTTTTGCTATAGGCGGATGTCTCTTTTTGGATTGGGATGTCCCTTTGCTATATGCGGATGTCTCTTTGTTGGATTGGGATGTCCCTTTGCTATCTGCGGATGTCTCTTTGTTGGATTGGGATGTCCCTTTGCTATGTGCGGATTTCTCTTTGTTGGATTGGGATGTCCCTTTGCTACGTGCGGATGTCTCTTTGTTGGATTGGGGTGTCCCTTTGCTATCTGCGGATGTCTCTTTGTTGGATTGGGATGTCCCTTTGCTATCTGTGGATGTCTCTTTGTTGGATTGGGATGTCTCTTTGCTATGTGTAGATATCTCTTTGTTGTTGGATTGGGATGTCTCTTTGCTATATGTGGATGTCTCTTTGTTGGCTTGGGATGTCTCTTTGCTATGTGTAGATATCTCTTTGTTGGATTGGGATGTCTCTTTGCTATATGCGGATGTCTCTTTGTTGGATTGAGATGCCCCTTTGCTATATTGGGCCAGGTCTTTGCTGAATATATAGGGGGCACTGTGCTTAGATTTTTAGGTGCACTGTGATATAAAGGGGACTGCACAGTAATCAATGCAGTCCCTTTCACAGTGCAGTCCCCTTTACAGTACAATGCAGAAGACCAACTCTGGGAATATTCCATCACCAACCGCCCCTGCGAATGCCCTTACCACCCTACCCCCCCCCCCCCCCCAGAAAAATTGTATGCTCAGTCCTGAAATGCTCGGGCCTGGGACAAAGACGCTGAGACTGTCCCGAGAGTCATAGAGTCAGCCATGACACCTTCCCCTTGTGCTGGCCATTCACAAGGAGAAACGTTTGAATTTTTGTTTTTAAGTTGAAGAATGTTCGATTTCGGGGCCATTATTGGGGTAAATCGACCTTCATCTGACCACAACCATGAGAAAATTGGAAGGTCTGGAGATGCATGGCTCCGCCCACTGACGCAGAAGAAGGCTCACCAGCCATGAAAAAGATTCCCATCCTTCGAATGTTCTCCTCATTGTGGTCAAATGATTGTCAATTCCTTGTCATCCTTGAGGTCACATCGTGTGGCCGGTGGGCGGAGCCATGCTTCTCCAGACCTGAAGCAAATTGCCAGATTTAGACCGGTTTCATCAAAATCAATAAAGTATTGAAGGAGAAAACTGATTGGTGTTTGGCCACCCCAGAAAACATCCACACCGAAAGGACATTTTGTTTTGCACTTTTGCTGTTCGATACGTTGTGTGATCGGGAAGA